GCCAAGATTGTGGTACTTGTTATAGCAGCCATAGGATATTAACTCACCTGGGGAGGAAAAGATTGTCCCTGTCTCAGTCTACCTGAACTCCTACCCACGTGTGAGAAACAGGATTGCTCAGTGAGCGGTGCTATTTCATCTCTAACAACAGTGACCTAATCATTGATTCAGTGTCTCATCCTCAAGCCTATATATCTAAAAACTCATTCTCCGTGGTTTATCAGATTAAGGAGGAATAATGCATACTAACTTAATTTCCAAGTGAGATCTAAACCACACCACCAGTTTATTGGTTAATCCATGGAAATGTAAACACTATCTGCATCCATTTACTCAGATTAGCAGCTACGTGCAGCTTCCTCTTACTTGGGAAACGCAAAGAACAAAGGCAGTTAGCTCATCTTGAAGGCTGATGTTACTAAACTGCGCAGCCTAATCTCCTGCGTGGATTAGAGCATTTACATTGGTCAAATGGGTTCCCTATTCTCACTTTGTTGGGACATTCTGACTTGTAATCACCTTTCTGGAGTCCTTGAAGGTCATCGTAATGCTGTTTTGGCAATATTCCTTCTGAGGTGCTACAATGACTCTATGTCTGTTTATTGTCTCCTTCGAAACTTGGGTTGTAGTCTTAGCAACAACACATTCATACACTACTTATATACATTCACTGATTCATTCAAGAAGCATTCAGTGCTTACTAAGTGCTAGACATTGCACTAGGATTTGAGACACAGATAAGATAAAGGCCTTACTTTCTGGTAATCTTATTCTTTGGTAGGTTAAAAGCTGCTGTGTACTTCTGTAGATACCTGAGCTCATCCATTTCTTGAGATTTCATGAACTTCATTTTTGTAGGTCAACATTTCCTGACCCACGTTGTAAAATTTAAAAATGGTCCACGCTAGCCAGTTTTGCTCAGTGGACAGAGTATTGGCCTGCAGACTAAAGGATTCCAGGTTCGATTCAGGAAAGGGCACATGCATGGGTTTCAGACTCAATCCCCAGCAGGAGGCAGCTGGTCAATGATTCTCTTTCATAATTGACATTTCTCTGTCTCTCTTTCTCTCCCTCTTCCTCTCTGAAATCAATAAAATAGTTTTTTTAAAAAATTTAGGAATGATCCAGTTGAGGACCTATAAGCCAGTCAAATAAAGTCAATAATTGGTATGCCAATTATTGGGACAATACTATTTAGACTAGCTTATCAAATATTCACATTTCACTAATCTAGGGTAACAAAAGGCCTAGCATTTAAATACTCTCCGTGATTAACATTTATATAAAACAGGAGAGATGCCATGGCTCATTGTCAGAGCTGTCCACTGGGTAGTCCATTCCAACTCATATTTTTATTTAATGGTGACTGATGTCATTGATAGCAACATTTAAAAAAAATTTTTCAAGTCTAAAATTTAAGAGCATTCAAGAAATCAGTCACAAACATTCTAGTTTTCATACATAGCTCATTGAGCATCTAATTACTAAATTTCTGATTATAGAGCTACTAGAGGCCTGATACATGAAACTTGTGCATGGGGGTGTGTGTGTGTCCCTCAGCCCAACCTGCACCCTCTCCAATCGGGGACCCTTTGGGGGTCGTCCTTCTTGCAATCTCCTAACTACTGCCTGCCTGCCTGCCTCTAACCCCTCTGCCTGCCTCTGCCTCTGGGCCTCTCTCCAGGCCTGATATGCAGCCTCTGTGGCAGTTCCTGATCAGCCCTTGCCTCTCTCTCTTCCTCTCCCTTTCCCTCTCCCTCTCTCTCTCTCTCTGGCCTTGCTTCTCTTTCTAGTCCTTTCTCCAGACCTGATCCACAGCCGTCAAGGCAGCAGAGGTTGTTAGGCTCTGCCCAGCCGAGGCCAGAGGCTAACAACTTTGCCACACCTACCTCGCCTGTCCCCCCCCCCCCCCCATGCTGCCCACCCCATCCCGTGGACCCCCCTCCCACCTGGTGACTGATCATCTGTCTGGTTGTTTAGGATGTGACAGCCCCTGGTCTTTTATAATGTAGATGCTATCCCAATCAATTTAATAAAAATTGTCTGCAAATTATGCTTACACTGGAAGTGAACCACTTATCAATTTTATTTTAGTCATCACTATTGGTGTACTCTGTGGGTGTAAAATTTTGCTTCCACACTGTCAGCATTTCTTGGGGGCCAGACTTCAGAGACTTCAGAGATATTATAGTTCTGAGGTCTTTGGCCTTGCTCTGAAGTTACTGGCTGTCCAAGTTGTTTCTTGAGGTGGTGAATTTTTCTACATTGTCTTGGTCTTTTTCTGGATCATTTTTATTCAGTTCCTCATTTGGACTGTGATAATGGCCACATACTGTTGACTTTATAGCTTTCATAGGTTTTCTTGAAGGGGTAGGGATTTTTGGAAAGTCTCCTTTCCTAGAACTCCCTTAAAAGACACCTTTTCATTCCCATGGATGTCTTTAGTGCCTGGAAGAACAGAGTGAGAGCAGAGTTTATGGGAACATGGCTGGGATGAAAGGGAAAAAAAGTCTTCATGAGAAAAAGTATGGATTGAAGATGGAATCTGCCAGGCAAGACCAGGGAGTCTTGAGGATATGCCACTAAAGAAGAGAAGTTTGGGTGTGGTCCTTTCATCCTGGACATTAGACCTGGGCTTCTTCCTCTTTTACCTTCTTTTGGTGAATGGGGTTGTTTGTTACATAACTGCTAGGAGTTTGTGGTTTCCTGGTCATCTTCACCCTCTCAAAATTTCCCAGGGCCCTCTCCCAGGCCTCCTGAGCATAGGCTTTTCTCTAGGACAAAGAGGGGCCACATTTCCTAGGCTATAATTAATCAGGAAGCCTCTCCTCCAGCTCATGGTAGCTCTGGGAGAGAAACTTAGACATTATAAAGCACCATCCTGACATTTCCATTAGAAGGAATGAGGAGGACAAGATGCTTTGGTGAGAGAATGGGGGCATTTCTTTAGCACTCCTAACCCTTCTCAAACCTATTGACCCCAGGTTCCATTCTGATGGGTCACATGGTAGGGAGATGCTTCCTCCAAATGTTACCCTAGACCCCCCATTTCAGTGGTTCATTGTTCTTTCTCATCCTTCACCATTAGCTAGTTTTCTTAAGTTACCTACAATCCTTTCAAGGTAATGTGACTGTCTCTGTGGAGATGTGAACCATCCTGCTTCCCTAGTACAGGTTGTTCTTATGCACCTTGAAAACCATTCATTTCTTAGCTACTACCACAGAAATTTTCCATCTCAACCCCTTTTCCACTGTCCATGTGGGTCTCTCCAGCTTTCTGTTTTCAAGGTTGAAATCATTGCCTTTAGGCTGTCTTTAATGAATAGAGTTGCTCAACTGGTTATCTTAGCTTTAAAATCTTGGAGGTGATCATAGTAGGTATAGTACCTAGATTTGGGGTTTAACGGTGTTAGATGAATGAGGCAGGAATTTAAATTCCCAAAGTTGGGCTTCTTGTTTTTATGTTGAAAACTGCACCTCCCCCCAAACCCACCTCAGGTTCATAGAGGACAGGAGGCCCAGGCCCTGCCAAAGTATGGATCAGAGGCAGGGCTAATGACCCTGCGGAATCCATCTCAGCCCCTGCCATCAGGCTTTGGAATTGCTGGGCTTAGTACTGGATGTGACGTACACTGACTTCCTGCAGAGGACTCAGGGCAGTGAGGCCTTGATCTGAGGAATCTGGCCTTGGGTAGACAGAGGGAGGATCCCAGGACCTGTCAGGGCTCAAGGTGAGGAACATGAATGAGGAGGAGGGAGAGACCCTGGGCCCTGGCACAGAATCATCCCACCCAGGACAGGATGACGACAACAGGCACTTTCTACATCCCGATCTCAGACTCTGGGGGTTTAGTATAGGGACCGGGACCTTATATACGCAGAGGACTGTCCCAAGTCCTGCCAGAGACAATATTAGGATGCAGTAACCCTGGACCACATAATAGAGGGGACCCCACGGAAGCCCACCCTTGCTGTCAGCCCTGGGAGTCCCCAGGGTGGGATGACCACAGGCAGTGGAATCAGGCCTAAACAGTCAGGTATCACCCTCACAACCTGAGACTGCTGGGTCCTAACTGCTCGCCTTCCTGCCTGCCTAATTACCCCTAACTGTTTCTGCCTGCCAACCTAATCACCCCTTTACTGCTCCCCTGCTAGCCTGATCTTTCCTCCAATTGCCTTCCCCTGCCAGCGTGGTCACATCCAACTGCCCTCCCCTGCTGGCCCAATTGTCTCCAACTGCCCTCCCCTGCAGGCCTGATTGCCCCAAACTGCCCTCTCCTACTAACCTGGTCACTCCTAACTGTCCTCCCCTGCCAGCCTGGTTGCACCCAACTGCCCTCCCCTGTAGGCCTTGTCACTCCTAGCTGCCCTCCCCTATAGACCTGATGGCCCTAAATTGCCCTCCCCTGCCAGCCTGGTTGCACCCAACTGCAGGCCTGGTCACCCGCAGCTGCCCTCCCCTACAGGCCTGATGGCCCACAACTGCTGGCCATCTCTGATGACCATCTTGTGATGATGTTGTGGGACACCAACTAGGCTTTTATTATATAGGATACATAGGGGTTTTTCTCAGTTTGATATAAATCAGTTCTGTAGTTTGAACGTTAATATAAACTGGAAACCAGTATAAACTAGAAAAGGCCAGTAGAGGAGTGCTTTTCTATGTGATCTAGAACAAGTAACTCACCTTTCTGGCTTCAAGTTTCCTTGTTTGTAAATGGTAGCTACACTTTCTGTCTTCAGTTTCCCAGTACTAAAATACAATGATTCTATAAGAATCTCTAGAAAACAGGATCACAAAAAGTTAGTTTGTTTATACCCAATCCATTTCATGAGACAATCAGGATTATTTAGGCAAATTCACTTTGAGTAGTTTCTCAAGATGCTGTGACCATTCATTCAGCAGGTATCCTCTTTGCTCTTACAAAGCTAATTGTTTAATGGAAGGAAGAGGCACCGTTAAATATTGACACACACAAAACCCACAACTATTTTTGTGAAACAACTTTTTAATTTCAATTCTCTGTTTACAAAAAGACAAAGAGAACAGGGGGTGGGGACGCAGGAATAATACTTGGTCACCCCCAGAGCGTGGAGGAAGGGGCCATAGCTAACAACTGGTAACAGCACAGAACCAAAAGAAGTCCACTGTCGATCAACGGCTTCTGTTAACAAGATCAGCCAGTGTAGGCAACAGTCAGATTGTCAAGTCCGTGTCCATGAGGAGGAAAAAGGCACGAGTCAGTCTAATGAGGCCGTGGCTCCGGGTAGCCTCGGGCTTGTCTCCTGTAAGGTTTGGGCAACTGTCTCCAGGGCAGATAAGGGCCAGGAGGTAGATTCCGGGGAAAGCCCCTATGAACCACAGGGGCCTGCTGCTGATAATAGGGTGTGGGGAAGAGGGCCCTTGGGGGCTGGGGATCAAACACCAAGTCGTTTTCCAAGTCAAATCCTGTTTGGGTAGGATGGAAATTGCTGAAGAAGAACTGATCGGAAGGGGAAGGTTGGTCTGAGTAAAAATAGGGATCTTGGGGATAGAGCAAGACCTGGGGGCGCATGGCCGGGTGACAGGGAAGGGGAAGAGGCGGTGAGGGCAGGAGTGGGGACAGGGATGGGCGGGGAGCTGGGAGTGGCAGCAGGGGGCTGTGCCTGGGAGGAGGCAACAAGGAGGAGGGCGGGGGTGCGGCCGTTAGGCCTCTGCTGCTCTGGGAATGCCTCTCTAGTCTCTGGCTAGGCCTGGCCGCCCTCGCAGGGTCACACTTGGTCCACTGGCTCGCTGGCTGGCGCTGGGGCAGCTCCACGCCCCACGCGTCGGCCACGTGGGCCAGCAGCAGCTGGGAGAGGCGCCGGTGCGCGTGCCGGTCCCAGTGCACCCCGTCGCTGTGCCGGTGCTCCTTCGCGTGGCGGAAGTGGAAGTGCAAGTCCAGCACATCCAAGTTGTACTCCTTCGCCAGGACGTAGCTGTAGTAGTTGGCTTCGATCACCTTTCTAATCCGGGCTTTGGAAGTGGACGGCTGCTCTTTCGGGAGGAAGCCCCCCTTGACCTTCTTGCCCAGGGGCATGGCCGTGTTCCACACCACGAGGCACGACTCTGGCAGCGCCTGGCTCAGGTGCTGGAACAGGCTCTCCAGGTTCTCCCAGTAGCTGCTGCACCAGTCGGGCCCGTACCTGGAGATGTCCCAGAGGCAGGAGTTCATGATGACCAGGTCCGGGGTGTGCTCGTGGGCCTGCAGCTCTTCCAGCACGGCCCGCACGTACTCGCTGTACACGCGCGTGAGGAAGTAGAAGCGCACCAGGTGGTGGCCGGTGCAGAACTCGCGGACCTCGCGGTAGCCGGTGCTGTTGCTCATGATGTCCTTCGTGCCCCCTTCCACCAGCTTGTCCTGTTCGAAGCTCGGCTCCCCCTTGACCTTGAGCTGGTCGAAAGTGAGCAGGCGATCCTCCTGCAGCAGGAGCACCAGGTCCTTGTACACGGACCTCTGGATGGAGTCTCCCAGGATGACCACGAACTTGTTGTGGAGCAGCTGCTGCACTTCGGAGGACAGCAGCTGGGCCATGGCGCCCAGGTCCAGGGGCCCAGCTCCTTTCTTGGCACGCAGAGGGTCTGCAGAGAGCTAGGACAGAAGGAGAGAGCAGCTGGGAGGAACCCACCTTCGGCAGGCCCTCTGTGTGGGCCACGAATGAAGTCTTGGCCTGGGAAACCCGCCGCAGGGTGGAATTCCACCACCTTAAGGCTGGGAGTGGGGGGAGAGAGAGAGAGAGAGAGAGAGAGAGAGCAAGAAGGGAGCCTGGAGCCAGAAGCCCTGCTTGGCCTGGCTGAGGGTTGGGACTTGGACCTCTGAACTGCCTGTGGCTGTTTAGAGGCCCAGGTCCCACCTAGCCAGGAGGGGCCAACTCGCCCCGCCCTCCCCCCCTGCTGGAGGGAGGAGCAAACTGCCACTGGGAAGGCAGCCCAGATGTCTGACAACTGGAGAATGGATAGGCAAACTTTGCAGCGGCTAAATAATGAGTGTGCGTAAGCAAGAGCACGGAGAAGGCTTGTGATAGGTTGAGGAATTTACAGACCAAGTGTGCCCCGCATCGCTGAGACTGTAGGGAACAGATACACATAGATAACATTGAAAGGAAATATGCAAAACATTTTAAATAACAGGATTACAGAGGCATTGCCTTGCCCTTTCTGAAAACATACTTTATATTACTTTTAGTAACTTAAAAAGAATTCAATGGAATGCAACAGAAAATAAGCTACATGTGCCAATAGGTCTTGTACAAAGGAGATCACATTGGAAAGAATGTTTCCGCTGCAATATTCGCTTTCCATTTGAAGATCTAATATGCCAACCCCGAGCATGATACTATGTCAGAAGGATGATTCTGAGCTGAATTAACAGACACAAGAAGAGTTCCCTGCACTCCCCTGATCTGCCTAAAAGCAGTGTATTCCCCTTTGAGGAAGGTGCCCCTCCCTACCCCAACCAGAGAGAAGAGTGAAGAAAGAAGGCAGGGTGTCGTCAACACCAAGATGAGTTTGCACGGAGAGCTCAGATTTTCCGCCAATTTCCCATTTATTTCCTCGTGTAAGACATATGCCTCTGATTTATCTTCATAGAAAAGAAACAGCATGAGGCCAGGTGGCTGCTGCTGAATTTCCCAGAGCAAACAGGATGTGGGGGTGGGAGAGAGGATGAGAGCTGCAGACTTAGCTAGCACATGTCCTAGAGGCGACTAGAGAAGGCCCCAGCCCATTTTTTTTTTTTCTTCTAAATAACCCAATTGGAGACAGCAAGACCTAGGCGACCTATTAGCAAATAGGTGATCAATAGCACCCAGCCAACGAGGAACTGGAGGAGGCTCCCAATAAATAGGCTGTAGTCCTAGCCCTACGCGCGATCCTGTAAAACGGGCTCCTGCTCTTGAGAGCATTATTAAAATCCTCATTTTCGCCACGCTTGTGTCCGAGTCCGTGATTTGAAATGTGGACAGATGAGCCATTTCGCACACTAGTCACATCCCCTGAAGCCCAAGCCGTTTTTCCTTTGTTAAAATGGCATATAAACCCCTGAATTTAACTGCTTCTTTAAGCTTCATTTCTTTTCTATGAACTCTAGCCCACATTAACATTAATAAAAATGGTGTGCCTTTTCTCCTGCTAACCTGTCTTTTGTTAGCTGGATCACGGGGCCCCGAAAACTGAAGAGGTAGAGGACAAGTTTCCCTCCCCAGCACGTTGAGTAAAATGCTAAAAATCGTGAAGTTCATCTTCAGGACGTTATTTCAGGTTGCCATTTACAACCACAGCTACTAATGAACAAAAGGTAGGAACACAGATCAATACTGCTAACAACTCAGGTGGCGAGGAAGATGGCACCCACCGTGTCACCCACTCACACAGAGCGAAAGCTGTTAAAACCCACCGTAGGTGATTTTTGTAGGCTTTCATGCATTAGTAAACATTTTAAGAGGTGTGGGTGGGTAGCTATGATTAAATGGCACATTCGGTTTTTAAAAGCAACAGTATTTGTGGTTTAAAATGGGTACAAGCACAAAAATAATACCACGAAAATGGTTAGAACATTAAGAGTTGCCCTAAGATGACAGTTGAAAATATTGGCTTAATTTCCTCCAAAGAATCGCCATGCGAATGTGTGGGGGTTTTTTTTGGCTATAAACAAACGAACAAACAAAAACACTTAAAAATAGGATTTAGCTTATTGTGGTGCAACAAAGTAAAATGTAAAGCAAACTCCAAATCCCTTAGGGGCTTAGGCGTGTTCATTTGTTTACAATCATTCATTGATCCAACTCACACTTATTAAGCTCCTACTAAGTGCTCCAGAGGGGGGATATAAAACCTAGCAAAACTTGGTCTTGCTGTCTTTCGAGAGCTGATGAGACAAATTCATTGATAACTGTAACACACAGAGGAGAGGGCAAGGGCCATGAAAACAGAATGAACGGTGAACGGGAGCCGTGAACTTTCAGGAGTCTGTGCAATTGTTTACCTCAGACCTGTCTCCAGTCTCCAAAGTGCAAAGTGCGGGGACACCTCTTCCCAGCGTGTTGTTCTCTGGGCTCCCAGGCCACTCAGCCTTGTGTGCCCTCTCTGGGCTGGCACTCTGGTCACAGTCTGCGCCTGGCTCCCCAGGGTATGGACCATCAAGCCCAGCGTTAGAGTTCTCTCTTCCCAAGGTCGGCGAATCTGATGACCTAGCGCTGTCTCCTTCTGTACGGTCTAATGGATTCTTTCTCAGGATGTGAAGAGCGTTGGTCTTGTACTCACACACGTGAGTCAAATCCACTACTTTAAAAAGCAGAGGGAAATCGCATCTTGGTGAAGAGCACTGTTTTTGAAGCCAAGCTCTCTAGGCTTCAATCCCAACTCTTGTATTTGCTGGCTCTAGCCTTGGGCAAGTGATTTAGCCCTTTTCTGCCTTAATTTTCCCAGTTTTTAGTACCCACTTCATGGATTTGATGTGAGGATTAAACGTAGTGTTTAGAACAATGCCCGACAAGTAGTAAGCATCGATAAGAGTTACTATGATTACTGAGAAAGTTTCAGATACCAGGTTAACCATCTGTAAAAAGAGGATTATAGTTTTCCTGCTGCATGTCTAGGGTTTTCTAAAGGTCAAATGAGATGATGCAAGTGAAAGATTTTGAATAAAACAAAATTAATGGATGTTAGGTGCTTGACAAATGTTATCCTATTTATAAGATAATTCTTAGAATTCATCTTTGATGTGATGTGTAGGAGCTAAGACTTAAAGCCACGGACTCCCAAATCTGTCTCTGTAGGAGATCTCCTTTAGACCAGAACTCCCTGCAAGTCAGTTTGAATGCTAAAGCTTGGGTCATATCAGGGGGGTGCAATAGGTCTTTTGATGTGGCTCTATGCATTGGCAGGCAACCATTTACTCTGCCAGCTCAGGAGAGGTGGTCCATGTGTACTTAGCTGTGTGTGTGTTGGGGAAGGGCGAGGGGAGTGAAAGTGGAAGTAGGGTAGGGAGTGTAAATAAGGCCAGATTGGCTCAGTGGTTGAGCATCGAGGAGGTCACAGTTTGATCCCGGTCAGGGCACATGCCCAGGTTGTGGGCTGGATCTCCAGTGTGGGGTGTGCAGGAGGCAGCCTATCAATGATTGTCTCTCATCATTGATGTTTCTATCTCTTGCCCCCTTCCTCTTTGAAGTCAATAAAAATACATGTATTTTAAAAATGTATCTTTTTCTCTTCCCATACCATAATCTGCAAAAGTGAAAAGATCTGGATTTCGGAATAACCAAAGCAAAATTCTACAGACTCCTGGGCTGCCCTGTATCATGAGCAGGAACCTAACCCATCCAGCTGCTGCTCCACAGGCTTAGAGTCAAAAACCAGGCAGAATTGTCCATCTAAGAATGTACTGGAATATCAGATAGGACTGTGGAAAAGAAGGGGAGGGGAAATGACTGGGAAGAGGCATTCCAGTTAGAAGCCAAAACTAAAAGGAAATTCATGAAATTCTTGATCAAGAGTGTCACAACTCGAACAGGACTAACAAATCAGACACCCGCAGGACTACTGTTTTGGGGAAGAATCCTTTCAGCTAAGATGCCCAACATTAACAATCAAAAAAAGGAGAGGGGACTCTTTGAGGGGAAGGGATGAAGTAGAGAATAATTTGGAGTCCTAAATCTTCTCTCTCATCTTAAAAACAGTAGGTTACTTCCATTTTCAAAGCTCTACTTATAAAACTGAAACAAAAAAGGGATTTGAAAACAGATCAATGGCCTTTTTCTCGATTCAAATTTGCTAAGCTCACTAATTAGTTTGCATACCTATGTTATAGACAGATTGCCTCAAGCATGCATTCATTCACTTCAATAAGGATCACTGAGAACCAGATACTGTGCGAGGTGGAAGGAATAGGTATAAAAATGCAGTCTCTCCACTCAAGAGTGGTGTGAAAATGGCATGTAAAAATGTCAAAGAAGGGGCTAGTAGCTAAAATTGAAGCATGCAAACGAAGCACCAAAGCCTGTAGGAAAGGTCAAAGGGGAGAGGGAAGGTATACGGATGATCATTGCAATCTGCGATTCCAATATTGAATGAAAACCAGTTTTTAAAGAGTTTCATGGTGATTCCTCAAATCATCATTATAAAAAGTGCCATCATTTTTCTGTTTTCAAAGTGAAATTTGGCTTTTGGCTAAGGCTCTAACAGAAAAATGTATTAATAGTGGCTGCTACTGTAATAAATTATTTTCAAGTATCTTGCTTAGATTCCTGGGGATAATTAATTTTTTAATAGCTTCATAAGCCATGGCTTATAAATTATTGACTACTGCTTGATAACTATTACAAACCAAACACATAGCATTTGTTTTCCATTAATCATTGTGTTGCAGAAATTAAGCTAATTTTTTCTTTTATTTATCTTTATTACAGGAAGAGTGACATTTAATATGGCAGTAACTTCAGAGATCCTGCAGCGAAGTCTTAAATCACAGAGGTAATCACTAACAATTAGGATGTTGTTTCAATTGGTTAGTTGTAGGAAGTACTTGTAACCAGCTTAGGTTTCTTGCATAGGACTAAACATCTCAGTATTATTCTGGGAATATAAATAGTTCAT